ATATATATATATATATATATGTATCGAGGAAAAATTGCTGTGGGACTTGCCATGTGCCATATATGTCTTCGAAGTGCTGACGTCAGATCGCAAATAGAATTATCACATAAGAGAGATCGAGGATTATTATAATTGTAGGATAAGAAGAGAAATGTCATTTCGTCTTCCTTCGGCAATATTAATTCTGCATTACGAAGCATAATCGTGCTGTATTTTCAGAGAATGATCATTCACTATTTAAAATATTAAAAGCCTATTTTTATGTATATAAAGGCACGTCAATTAAAATATTTTTTATTAGCGTCCATATTTGAACTAAATGAAGTTTAAACTAGGATAATCAAGATATAATAAAGCTCGAATAATTACTTCAATTGATTTTTATATAATATTTCTGGATTCGGAAATGTGTGTATAATTATTTTAAATTTCAAGGTATTGAGTGAAAATGATATAAACTTACATGTGTACTTCATCAATAATAATTCACCTAATAATTGTACTAAATAAATTTTGATCAACATTTTGTTTTTTAATAATAGGTGTTTTTCAGGAATTCATGTAGGGATTTTTACACTGAAAAAGGATGTTTTAAAACTCCACTTCTTGTTGTAAAATTCCACTTTAAATATGTGATAACGCAAATATAGGTATATGTTTTTTTTACAACGAATAAAAATAAATGTACGAAGTCTCTTTTATTGTTTATATACAATTTTAAGTAATATGTTAAAATAATAAAATTTATTAGTAATTAGTTAAAGTTAAAAAGTTCATTGATTTATAAGGTTTCTGTTTTTTAATATCTGAATGATAATTCTTATGTATTTTATTCCGTAAATTAAACGATTCAATCACTTCACGAGATTTATGCGATAAGCAACACGATATATATTTTATTTTTTAAATGTGCCACTTAATGTTTTCTTAAACACATGTAAATTCATATCTCAATTATAATTATTATTATAACTTTGTTTTTGTTAGTTTTCTCAACTCAGGAAATAAGAATAAAATTTTTAAGCGACAATTTTAACTAACTACATATAAGTCAGATTTATTTTCCATGAAATAATATTCAGTTTCTCGTTTGTTCATTGTAAAACATGTTCCTTCGCAGTTATCGCATAACCGCGACACAATCACGAACGTGCTAGCCTCAATTCACGTTTATTACACATTGAATAACACATTGAACCATGCACTTCCGAACTCAAGCAAACCATGCACTTTCGAACTCAAGCAAATCAACTAACATTGCATTATATATAAAACGATAAGAACTTTATGGCATAATCGAATTAGATAAGAAAATCAACATTCGTAAATAATACGAGCGATATGTTGAAAGTAGCACACTTTTCTTCTAAATATCCAATAAATATAAAACTTTCCTGATTGCAGGTAACATCCTTGACAGCAAGAAAAATAAATGTTATTTGTGTTATACGGTGTAAAAAAAATTGTAGATAAGCCATAGGTAAACGAACATATTATCATGTCCGAATAGATACATCCATCTAACTAATAATTTATTAAAGCAGCGAAAGAAATATTTTGATTATTTTAATATTCAATCAGAAACAGATGTTCTTAATTTTTTACTCGATTTCTTTCTAGTTAATATTTAAAACTTACAAAATAAATGAAATACTAGATAAAATGAAAGATTTGCTTTAATAAAATTATGATACAGAATTTATATATTTCTTGATAATAAGCAAATGATTCTGAAATATAATTAATTTTCACAAAATAAAGATTAAAACACAGTATTTAAATACATAATATTTAAAAATTGAACAGAATACGAATTGACTTTTAGACGTAATAAATATAATAAAATTAATTATTATGATATAGATAGCTGAAGTGGAATTGAAATTAGATATATAACTTTTATAAATTTTCTAACAGAATACTCATACTTTCCTATATTTTTATTGAAATATAAATTAATATTGTTTAAAGAGGGAAAGATAAAAAGGAGTAAAAAAGAAAAAGAGAGTTTTTTTTAATACATTTCTATTTTTAATATAAGTCATTCATTCCGCCGGTATTCATAGTTTATTCTTATTTTAAGATCATCTTAAATAATTTTTTAAGATGCTAATACATTATTTAATTTGGTTTATGACATCTTAAGACTGTAGTCTTAAGTCTTAACATAGTCTTAATTATAAGAACAGACTATACAATATCGCGGCCATTGCATTTTAATTAAGGTTATCGTAATAGACTAACTATACGTAATTTTATTATCGCTACTTCCGTATAAGACGCTTAGTTAATAATCATGTTGTTATTATATTTGAAAAATGACAGCACATAGCGTGACATGGAAATTAAAAAGTGTTAGTAGTGTAGTAATGATAATGTAAAAAGCAATTAAAAGTATTTCATTCTTTTTTCATCGACAATTTTTTATCGTTGAACGAAGTTGTGAGACATTTCTATTTTGTACTTTTTATAAATAGATAATTTTACACTATTGGATATTGATAAAAATGATAAAACATTTGATTGAGTTGTTATCTATATATTATAAAATATTATTTTATCGCAAATGTGCATATGTCGTAAAATTGTGCGATTATATGCAATTATATACAAACGTGATTATATACAAACAGTAATATGTGCTTACATAACGCAACTGGTAATAAATTAGACAGCTAATAAATTTACAAATGGAAAAATATTATTTATTAATCATAAGCTAAGTTGGTAGTGTATTTCAAATATATACATGATCATACTCTTCTTCGGAACATGAATAATATTCGATGAAGTCCGCAAACAAAATTATTTATTTATGGAGCATCCAAATTTCAAACTTTAAAAAAAAGTTTTAAAGTTAATTTTTAGAAAATAAAAAAACAGTAAAATAAAATATGATCTCATAAATTATAATTATCGAATATTCCGCTATTCGCGTTTCTTTTATAGTCATATATTATTTTGGGTTGCATTCCATTATTCACTGCGAGTACTGGAAATCTATAATTCACATATATTACAGATTTTCAGTATTTGCAATAAATAACGAACGCAACCATGATAAATTTAATTTTTAACTTAATTTTTTCTACGTGAATATCTTAAAAAACGTCGATGTTTTTTAATCACTAATTTACTTATTATATATTTTATAATTATAATTATTATATATATCTTATAATAAAATTATCTTTAATTACGAAAAGAATTCCTTTAAATAATTGATTTAAAAAACATTTTTCTTAATTAGAAACAATTGTTAATAAAATAGAAGTATACTAACAAAAAATTTTGTTCTTATTTAATTTTAACAAATTTAATACATCTAATTGCCAATCTAGTTTAAACAATGAAATATAAAAAATAACACTTAATCAAATATTTACTGAGAAAAAATTTGATTTTAAATTGAATGAAGAAAGAGTTATGCGCAATTGACATTTTCAATCTAAAAGCTCACATCATTTGATGATTTTATCATTATCGATACAAATACAAAATGCGTCACACATGCGATCCCCAGCAACGCAGTAGTGCTTTGCTTACTCCGGGGTATGGTGGACGGGAAAAACAGACGTTGCACGTGGTCGGCGAGTGGCCGCGCGTGTCTTCTACCCTTTTCCCCGCATTCACTTTTCCTACCATCCTATCGCAAATGCGTTGGCCTGCATACGGGTATAAAAGCGAACGCGCTCCAACAGAACGGGTTAGTATTTCTCGTGCAGCGTATGAACGTATCGAGAATTCGTTCTTCCTATACTCCATTGCAAGTTTTTTTTGTAAAACCATTGAAATTTAATCGTTAGAAATAGTATTTCATAAAACGATATACGTCGACAATATATCAAGATCTTTGGGTGAAAGATTCTTGTGCTCAGATTTTTTGTGAGTGATTTTAAAAATAAACTTACTTAAGGTGGTTATGCCGGTGGAATTTGAATCAATGGCACCCGTCGCTCATAAAACCATCTCTCATAATGGGTAGGCAATTATTTGATTTATATTAGATGTGGGAAAAAGTTCGTGGCGTTTTTCCCGTTAGATGGCATTAAAAAAACGCCATAAACTTTTTTCCACATCTAATATATGCGTATTTTAATTCTTTAATTACTTTCTTTACTATATAAACGGCTAGGATAATGCATCATTATTTTTCAAGTAAAATAATTTATGAATTAAAAAACACAATAGAAATAAAATATGTATTCTAAAATATATTAACTTATATTTAGCTTATATTGCAATATTTTTGCAATTTAGTGATTAAAATTTATTGAGCATACTGCATATATGTTTAGCCAAGGCAGTATATCATTATTTATGTCAAAGAAACTTTTTATGTTATTTTTTTATATTATTTTTTATACTATGTAAAAAGTTTTTATTGACTTATGTCTTTCAATTTTATTTAAATCCTCAGTTAGTTTAAACGAAAATACAGTTACTTATATGTCACGCATTTCCTGATTGTTATACAAGCTTTACAAATAATTCACGCGAAAACGTGTTTTCAAGTATCCAATCAGAATAGATTCGAACAGCTGATCCGCAAGTCTGACAAGTTTCCTCGTGCCAGGCATGTTAACATTAATGACACACTTCTGTCAATTTTAGTTTACTGTTACACTGTTTCTTCTAAAAGATTTCAGAAAAAGGAAAAATTTGTCATTATTAATTAATTGAATACTAATTAAACATTCTTTTCACTGTGATGACAGTTACCTATAACAGATCTTTTTATCCCGATGCTACAGAAATTATTTCAATCGGAGAATGTCATAGTATTAATGTCCGCATATTTCCTAAGTCTTGTTATTAAACTCTATTAGAGTTAAATGAGACTATAATAGATCTCTGTTATTTATATAAAATTTTTCATACATAACATTTTTAATAAAAATAAACTATACGTATGAAATAAATGTTTTTTATTTATTATTGTGCAATTATAATTTTCATAATGAAGAAAATTTAATATATTTATTAACACCATTCTAATAGGAACTAAATTATAATGTAATAAAAATAATTATAATTATTTTATAACTTAATAATTATTTTAACTCTGCGTATAATTTATCTGCGAACAACATCTCATATGAAATTTTTGAAGTTAAATATAAAACTTATAAATGAATAAAATCTAAATTTAAAAAATATAAAAAAATTTGCTCCAAATCTTTAATTATTTATATATGCATATGTCCTATGTGTCATTTTCTTTTGAAATAAATATATAGAAATAAATATATAAATATCTTTTGAAAATATATATTTTCCTGAATTAACGCTGTTTTTTAAAAAATAATCTACTTTGCTAATTATTATTTCCAACTACAATATACTTATATTATAATTCTTTTTATATTATTAATATATAATTAATATAATTCTCTGCAACACTAAATAAATGTATTAGATAGTAATCGTGTGTGTGTGTGTGTGTGTGTGTGTGTGTGTGTGTATGTGTGTGTGTGTGTGTATGTGTGTATAAAACTATATTGTGTATTATATACAAAATAATATTGCATTTTACAACGTAAATATTGCATTTACTCTGAAAATTTTGGTCCAAAATAGAAGAAAGATCCTTTTATAACAATATATTATTTTAAAAATTGCTGTGATTTATGACAATTATCTGTATACAGCATTAGACGCATAGAGACTTATCACTTTTGCATTAAACATAACACTACTAAGTATCCAGTAACAACAAATAATAATACGTAAAGATAATAATATAGGTAGTTGAGGAAAAATATCTTCCAATTGCAAAAGCCTCATGTTACCGAATTTGTGTTACAGAGAGAAGATGAATAAACTGTGCCGTCAACTCTCAATCGAGAGCCCGAGCGTGACCGGTCGGGATTGTGTTTTCAGCTTCGATGTACCCGTGCCGGATGTGCCAGCGCATGGTGCCCGCATCCGGGTGGTGTGCGCTGGTGCTTGTTACCATCCTCGACGATCGCCGAGTCTGACTAGTTTGACCTCGGTCTCGAGTGGCAGTAGTCTGGCCGCCGACATATCCGTAGAAAGCGATTACCCGGTATTTATACCGCATCACGGGGTACGCGACGCTGCTCTATTCCCCGGTTACGAAGTGGCTGGCGTGATCGAATCGTTTGGCACCGAGGTACCTGAAGACCGCGAACTTGCTGTAGGCGACCGCGTTATTCTTTATCCCTATGATGGAATTCCCAATGGTTACGTCGAATATCTGGTAGTGCACGACCTCAAGTACCTGATCAAGCTTCCGGACAATATGTCACTTAGCGTGGGAGCTATGCTGCCGGCCGGCGCGCTTCTCGCCATGAACACCGTCTTCGCTGCGCACGAACACGTGCAGGTATAGATAAACAATCTTTCATATTTTCTTTTTATTAAATTAAATTAATAAATACACTTTAAAGACACGTTTATAATAAATTATCTGACAAAGCTAATACTTCAGAAATAAATGATGAGATTTCTCTTCGAAGCTTTCTTCATGTATGATAAAATATTGCAGGCATTATTGAAGGAGAGAGGTGAAAACAGCGTGTGTAAGATTCTTGTAGTTGGCACAGGTGGTCTTGCCTTGTGGGCTCTCAGAATCGCATCGTATCACTTCAGTAACATGAGAGATAGAGTTACTACTACAATAGCCACTCTTAAGGACGATGGTCTTCTCATAGCTCAGGAATTCCAACGGTAAGTTTATTCAGTTGATTCATTATTATTAAATTCTCATAGTGGAATAGAATAGTTATTAGATAATTGTTAATTATTAACTTAATGCCCCGATATTTTACTTTCTTTATAATTATTATTAATTAAGTTAATTGCAATTGTTAATAGCAATTGTTAATTAGTTAATTAAACAAGATTTTTACGATAGTAATAAATGAATTCGTAAAAGTACGAAATTAATTCTAATATCATCTACACTAAATTACAATATTTACATACAAATTATTGGCTGTCTTTTTCTCCCTCTTAAGAAAAACATTAAAAAACTAAAAAGATCAATGAATGTATTTTCAAATTTAATGCTCGTATACGATGTCTTAAAAATTCAAACATTTATCATCTTATTTTTTTATTTATTCAGCAACAGTCGGCATATTGGTTACAGGGTGAACGTAGTACAATGGAACGAGGATCTTTATGAGAAGCAGTTGATCGAACGCACGATGGATGCCTGTGGTGGCCAAGTAGACGTAGTAATCGATTTCGGCACGACATCACGCAATCTTCATCGCAGCATGCAATGCCTAAGTAAGGGCGGTGTAGTGTTTGTGATCAAGGAGGTCGCAGATCGACTACTGCCCAAGTTTAGCCGACGAGCGGAAGAGCGGCAGCAATCTATTAAACCGGTAGAACCGGGTACTTTGGAGCAATTACGGGAGCTGGTGCAACTAGTCGCCTCGGGCGACATTGAGCCACCTCCGCACACTGTGTATCCCGCCGAGGAAGCTCTGGACGTCGTTCAAAAGCTTTGTCACTCAGAGATCCAGGGCCGCGCGATTCTTCGCTTTTATCCCGCGGACTAGAAGATTTTTCGTTAAAAGATTTCTCCGTGATCGCGGATTAGGCGATAGATTCGACGACGACGATCGAAAAAGTCCGAATCCGGCCCGGATGAGAGTTGTTGACAATTGAGAGTTATTACGGCATGTGCGTTTCGAAGTTTTAATATGTAGCTAAGAAGGACTATCGAGAACAGAAGTAACTATATTGCTTCATATTAAGGGCCGGAGATTAGATAAAACGTTGATACGTGTATGTCCTATAGGGCGATAGTTTGCGAATGAGGGGACTTGACGACTACAGGAATGGTCTTTCGTAGAAATGACACGTAAAGAGATTTGATCTATCGGGACAAAAAGATCTCACAAGATTTACAAAAATTTGACGGTACACGAATAAAAGAGTTGATGAAAGAATGATGTTCTGATTTATATGGTTGATCAAATATTAACTATTAATTTGACAGAATTTTGTAATAACAATAGTACGAATACTTTCGAAATACTTTCGAAATACTTTCGAATCTAATTTAATTTCATCAGACTTTTCGTTGATTAACAATTCTTTTTAATGCTAATCAAACGTGTAATATTTGAAGGAAAAAGTTTTCATATAATAAACGAATTCTTTTCTGTAAAGAGTTTTTTTTCGAAAGTTTGCCAATGAAATGAAAAATATTAGAAAATTATTGTTTAATATTTTAGAGATTATCTCATTTTACAGCTTTCTTTTAAATAATGAGCAATTAACTTTCACAAATGGGCAGAGATAAAAATGTCAATCCATTACACGGTCATAAGATAACAGCCTAGATAGCACGAAAAAATAACGTAAAGCTGTCATGCTTAACAAAAAAGGACATTATCATTAAAGAAGCGATGCTCTCTATTTTCTTTTAATGGATGTCTAATATTTGTCGTTTCTTGGCACAAAGTAAAGTCCAAGATAACATTACAATGTATGCATATTTGTGCCGAACGCACTAATACAATTATGAACAATTAATGTACGAGATATTTTGTTTCGTATTCAAAAATTCTTAAATAGAAATATGCTGATTGGAGACACAAAGCAATACAGTTGTGTGTCTTGTCGAACTTCACACGTTCGTGTGAAGTTGTGGTATTAAAACGGTTATAAGATAATTTCGATGTGTGTTGATTATTTTTACTAAGAATTCAAGAGTACCAGCAACTACCTACAAAATAGTCATATTAACTATACTGTTTTTAATATTTATATTATAGTTAATACGAGTACTTAAAAATCGTTGGTGCCTAGAAATAGTGATAAAAAAAGGATTAAAAAAAGAAATGAAATATAATTGTATTAACTATACTACTTTAATCATAACTACAAATAGCTAATAATGGCTATTTAAAGTTGCTGGTATTTATAGAAACATCGACAGCATGAGAAGAATTAAAACTAATATTTTTGCTGAAAACATCTGAAGAAATGTCGAAAAAAGTCTGTATTCATATATTTAAAATGCATTTTCAAATGATTTTTGTTTAATTATATCAAATGTGTATATTGTTGAACAGTTATATTAAAAAAATGTATAATATACAAACGTAATAAGAATACAGACCGGTTAACAACAGAGATACATTTGATGTGATCAGAAGATTTTAGGAGAGACAGATCATTCGTTAATTATGTGATGAAAACTAGCAACTTTATTGAACACGCATTTATTTCAAGCGATATTCTTTATGATGTTGGCGGCGTATATTGCTATGTATTTTAATTATCTAGAAACTTTGTCGCGATAATAATGGTGACAGATTGATATCGTAATTATCTGAAATATACAGAGTCACTATTAATTGTCACGAATGTTCCACAATAATTAATTGAAGGACACCGTTGAAGATACTGCTGACGCAGTACAAAAGTGTATCACTGCAGAACCCGAAACAAGTCCGATATTTATGAGCACACTTCAATGCATACTGCAATGAATATTGCAGCACAGGATCAAACGTGTATATTCAATGTCAATTCAGGAATAATATTCGATCGGATGCGCTTGTACGAGCGCCTAGAATAAGTTCCCCGTTAAGATAAGGATGTTGAACTGTAATAAATATCTGTCCTACCATAAAATGACACGTCACTATAGCGAGATAATCCCGAAACTTAGTTAAATAACATGAAAACTGGAAATACATTATTAATAAGATTTCAAAGTTGTTTCTTTATAAGGCAGGTACAGAAAAAAATAATCGCTTCATAAATAGACCTAAGAATAATCGCTTCATAGCAATAGACTCTATTTTTCATGATTTAAAAATCATTAAGACAAGTTCCTTCACAGCACACATCTAGTTAGCGGATATATGCTTTTTCAGACGTTCTAGTGTGAAAGAGTGAGATATATATCGTATCCGTACATAAAAATATTTTAATGAATATATTAACATATATGTTTAACTATATGTTTAAGTTTCTTAGTGTTTTCCGAATCAGAGGTATGTAAGGATGCTGAATTTAAACGCATCAGTGCTAACCATGCCTGATATTTTCCTATAATTAAACTTTCTTCCGAGGTCTAGATGATCGCCTCGTTAATATGCCACTTATACTATGTGAATATTTACGTAAGGTGCGTTACTTTACTTTAAGATTCTATCCGATATAATTGAGATTGTATTGAAAATGAAATTTGTCACATATGCAATTATCATACATACAAGAGTGAACGTGAATTGCATTTCAAGGTTAAGAGAAACGAGCGATCGTATTAAATGACGAGTAGTTGCACGCTAACCGGGCCTTGCCGTCATATCTGCCGACGGTTTCGCGAAATTTAAACTTGTCGCGAATCCGAATCTTATCGCTAACCGACACAATAAGAGCATAATATACTTTACTGAGCGTGTACACTCGTGTCCAGAATATCTCGTTGATCGTCGTTTATCATTAGATCAGTATTCACCTTTTGCTTAGCGTAAGTTAATGTAAGTTCATTCGCGTAAACTTGCGACATAATGTTCGCGTAATAAATCGCAAGTTATACCTCAGAAAGACTGTTCTGTTTATTTTATATGGTATACTGATATATCTCTCATTTATTATTTTTTATCGTATAATTTAGGCGATAGCTGATCGTAGCGCATCATGTAATATTATTGTATTTACTGTTGATTTACTGTTGAACAGTAAACGCATTATTACGGTGATAATATAACTATATCTTATTTTCTTTTTTAAATAACTTCTGTGTTTTATTTTTCTAAATCTTTTCCATAACAATACATTTTATAATCTACACCAAATATTTCGAATTTGTTATATATGTTGCATTTAATTAAACTGTCGAGAATTGTAAATATAGTAATAAAAACGATTATTAAGAAAAAAATCTTACTTTTTATATCAATAAGATATTCATTGCAGTACCTAACTACATAATTCAGGTAATCTTAATGACAAAACAATAATATATTATTCCTTGAATAGTAAGTATTATTTACTTGAAATAAATTATTGATAAAACAATCTAATATATTCCTACATACAACTAAAATAACATCGATTATGACATAATTAAGACTGGATCAGTGTTCTTTTTGTAACATTTTTATTAATGTATTTACCATAAATATTCACATTTAATACAATTTTCGAGAAATATAACATTATATACAAATATATATTAAAAATTGCACATAAAAAATCGATCGTATAATTAAAATATGATTAAATTTACAAATAAAAAAATTATCACAAGTTTATGTATGTATACTGATAGGCATATATTATTTGTTATAAAAATGGTCTACTGGATCACAATTTTGTTAGGCAAGAACATACATACGTGCAATTTTCTGTATTATAATATCAATTATTAATATCAGTTAGCAATTCTGTACAATTAAATGACAATTCAATTGTTACAAAAAAAAATTTTCTTTCTGATTTAACGGTATCTTTTATACATGCATATATTACATTTAATACATTTATACATGAATATAATAAATCGATAATTCTATACATATGTAAAAATCTTAAAAAGTGTATAAATCAAATAATATATAAATCTAAGAACTAGTAAGAAATTTGAAATGTTATTTTCGAGTATTGATGTAAATATCTAATAATATTTTCGCTTAATCATCTTTTGAGATCTTTACATTTAATCAGATCAAATAAAAAATTCTAAAAGATTTCTTTTTTAACATAAAATATCAATAATATATTTTTTATGAGATAATCATAAAAAACTCAAATATTGATAAATTGATTGATTGAATAAATAGTAATAATTTCTATCAATGATTAATAATTCTGCAATCGAGCTAATTATCAGATCCCAGCATAAAATTGCGACGCTATAAATGTAAAACTTGTGCTTAATCTTAAGTTCATCGTTATGACTTTGGTTTAATGGGCGAGCTTAAATAATTCCGTGGAACGTAGCCTTGTTTACCATTACGATTCTCTACCAGCCACCATTCATCATTTCCTTTCTCATCATGAGGTCTGAGCAGTCTCAGCGCTTGACCGTTAGTAATAGGCAATGTGCCCGGCATGTTTCCAGCAAAATCGTACATCGCGTAGTAAAACTAAAATTTTATCATATTAATATAAAGATATTATTCCGAAAGATAAAAAATTATTAATATTCTATTATATTAGAATATTATACTAACTTCGCCGTGTATATTCTGTATATTCTGATACACCTGAACTCTTGGCGTTTCGGGAACATTGCTATAATTGTGATATACTTTTATTTCTTGATCTAATGAAAGCAAATCTTGTAGATGCGACGAAAACACTTTCTTGATTTCTTTCTCTGGAGAATCCAACGACATCAAATTTGGAGGGCTAGCACTTTTTCTGCCGGCAGCAGCAACATCCGATGTGATTTGATCATGATGCTGACTTTGTCGCTGAACCGGTCTCAGTTTTTGAGACGGCAAGAATCCTTGAGTGACTCCAGTGTCGACATACCATCTTGCCGGATTTCCCATTGGATCTTGCTTTTTTATAACTCCGACCAATGTACCTCTCGTAGCATCCACTTCCAATGTAGATGTACTGGAAATGTCCTCAACCACCACATATAATTTGTCCGCGGTGTATTTTTCTCTGAGCGAAGATCTCTGCTCTTCGGTTTGTTTAGACAATTGCGTTTGATCCTCATCTATTCGGGTATTCGTGCCAGCAAACGCAAAACGTGTTATTTGATTCCATATTAAATTATGATTTACAAGAAACGATTCCAGCACATCTTGTGACGATAGATGCGGTGTTGTCTAAAAAAGAAAATTATATTTCGTTCATTCTCGAATTACATTAGACTGAAAATTTTCTATTAAAGTTTTAATACCTCGCAAAGAGATATATATTGCTTCGTAATTTTTCCGCTTAATAATTTTCGGGCGCCAGCAAAAGCATTTATACAATTAACCAAAATATTGGCTGCGGCATCCAACAAAATAGGTAATTCTTCCAACAATTGTTGATTCAGAGCTTCATAATTACTCTTAGCAGTAAATAATTCTTCTTGTATCTGAAATAACATAAAATGAATCAGATAAAATTATGAAAAAAATAATAAAAAAAGTTTACAATAAAGAATATTAAAGAATATTAACATAATTACAATTTTTGATTCTTTATATTTCTCACTCTTTGAAATAGCGGCGTCATAATCCAACAACTTATCATGCCTTTTTGATACCAACATCGCTGGCCCTTCTAACAACGTCGCTAAGAAATGTAATGGGGCGCTAACTGTTTTCTCAATATATGACTTAAAGTCCTGTATATATTGTGACCAAATTATAGCTCTTATGTCTTGCAACTTTTTTACTTCGGCAGTTGGACTTCCCTGATAATAATGAACTAACAATTCAGCTATCGCTTCACCGGATATAGCTTCATCACTCAGATACGTAATACATTGTTCAATATCTTTCACCAATTGCCATGTACATTTCTCTATAGATCGAAACTGTTTCTCGAGCTCCTCAAATTCGGTGTCACTCGCAACGTTTGTCAATCCTAGACTCGCCGACAATCGAGTGCTAAGTCTTGTTGACATTTTTGCCACAGAATGCATACTTAATTTTGACATTTTACTAAATAAAGTATTATCATTGTCTAAATACTTTGATACAATATCTCTTCTCCGTTTGTATTCATTGATATAACTGGCCACATTTGTCATAGTCTCCCACGCTTCCATTATGGCTGCTTTATCTGGATGATTGTCTTCTGTACACTAAAAATTATTTTCCATACAGGAAAATATTATAATGCAATATAACTTTGAATATATATATATACATGCATATAAATATTTATCTAAAAAGTAATCTGAATTCAATTTCACAAATGCTGCTGAAATTGATATATATCAATTTATTGGTAACTTCATTAAAATATATTTCAAAATTAAACTTCCACTATCTTCCAAATAATCTATTTATATTCTTTGTATTTTGCGTAACTAACGCGATTACTTACCTTTATTAATTCATATAACATTAGAGGATACTTTACAATTCTTTGAATTGGCTTTATCAAAATGGAGCTCATATCAAAACAAGCAATCCGACGACGTAATGTCTCAATACCTTTGTTAAATACTTTCATGATCTCTTCATTACTTTCATACTAAAATATAAATGATTCGATATAAATAATTCTAACTTCAAATAACTATAAACCTTACATTAATATATAATTTTCAATTAAAAATTTCGATTAAATTATATATATATATAAAATACCTTTTTCAACAATGCTAACGCAGCTTCATGATTCCCACAATACTTAACATAAACACTTTTCAATTTCTCAGCCATTTTTACGAAACAAGGCCCTACTGTTTGTAAATTTTCATCACAACCTTTCATAGCTCTCAAAATCATATCCAATAACTCTTCGGCAACATGAATAACTTCCAAAATATTCCCAAACAGCGTAGCAACATCGATCCCTTTTGATTCGAGAAAACTTGGATTATGTAAATTAAATGTTTCGTATGTTAATTTCAGATCACGGACATATTCTTTTTCAGTTATAACTAATTCCGATATTACATTTTGACGTTGATCTGCATTCTTTTGTTTCATATTTACAATATTATTGATTGCAGACTCATTTTCCCACATTTCTTTTTTAGCAGATACTTCTCCATTTGCAATAGTTTCTTTCTGCAATGGCACTCTACCTGGAGCAGGAGCAGGTGGTGCTGGTCTGTGCGGTTGCGACATTCTCTTCGGTTCCTCATTCACAACAATGTTCGCTTCCTTATGTCTAATCATCACAAAATCTTCAAAGTCTTCTAAATTTGATTCCTGCAAACTATCCAATGAATATTCGGATATCGATTCGGAGCTCAAATATTCTCGTGGACACAAACCAATTAAACCATTCTTATTTTTCACTTTCACCCAATCCTCATTAGTCATTTCCAACACAGTGACACTCTCGCCCTCGTGGACATTTAAATCGCCATTCATTTGTGCATCAAAGGTATATAACACTTTTACAATAATATTCGGTTCCAAAGCATCTTTTTTTGCAGGAATTACTTCAGATTGAATTTGATACTGCTTTGCTTCTGCACAATCAACTATTATGTTGACATAAGATAATGGAAAAATACCTTTAGTGGTATCGATCAGACCCTCTAACCATTCGGAATCAATGTATCTAGTGAGATGCACTACTTCACCGGCTCCAAAGCTCAGCTCATTTGGAAACTGTGCATTAAATGGATATAATGTTATAGCATATGGTTTAATATCAACTGAATTTGTATGACTATTATATTGTATGCTGTCTGTATTATTTGGTGTTGTTGGCAACATTTCTGGAAACAAGTCAAAATAATTTGGAGTAGGTTCAGTAGGCAAGTTTGCATAAGAATTTACAGAGGTTTCACCAAAATCTTTATAAATTGTGCTATTGTGAACTGTTGAGAAAGATGTAAAATTGTTCTCAGTTGTACATGTAATTTGTTCTTGATCAATTATATCTTGATCTTCTTCTATGTAGGATATAAACCCTTCGGGGATTATGCCTTCTCTACCATCTTCCGTAATTCCACGACACCAACCGTCATCCAAAATTTCTGTGACAACGACCATCTCACCTGCAGTTAAATCTAATTCTTCGTCGAGTTGTGCCTTTAGTGTTGTTTTTACTTTAGCTCTTTTCTTTATTGATTTATTTTTTGTTTTCTAGTAAAAAGTATTCTAATTAATTAACAATTTTGTACACAGCTGATACATAAATATGATACAATCTCTTTTAATATTCTACCTTTATTAATGTTGTATCCAATTCCCATGTATGTGTTAATGGAAAAATTCCATTTTTGGAATCTATTCTGCCCATGCACCATCCTGAACCTATGTCCCTGACTCCAATTATGAGTTCTCCTAATAATGAGAGAATTTTTGTTCAAGTACTATTTACAATATTGAAACTTGAAATCTATTGTTATATCTTCTCACTTTTGTTAAAACAATTAATAGTATCCTTTAAAAAGTTCACGGGGTAACAGCATGTCTTATATCAGTAAGCTTACCTTCTGCAAAAGACAAATCTCCAACTTCTTGTCCGGGAAAGGTGGCTATAGAAACAAACAATCTTTCTGTTTCATAAAAAGGAGGAATTTCCACTTTATGCAGGTGATTTAAAGGAAACTTGCCGATTCTGTCTTGTGATTGACCATGGCACCAGTGCTTGTCTATGATCTTATGTACCTGAAACGAAGATAACAGACCAGATCTATCACTTTTAACACTTGACTGCGCGTTAGACTAGGCTCGTTAGGTTAGGCGTTAAATGTTTGTTAGTACCACGAAATATTGTCCCTTGGGAAGACTCAGCTCTTCATCGACGGTAGTAAAGAAGTCGTGTAGCACCCTCGCCAGCGTTCCCGGCTCCATTTCCGCTGCGACACACTCGCATCCGTTGAACTTGCGATACTACGTCCAGTATATAACACTCGAGTGGTGGCGAGCCAGGCCAGCCTGGGCCAGCCAGTGGTGTGGCGAGGCGCCTGACAGCCGATACTGCTCCGATAAGTGGCTGTCACGTGGCATATGCTATTATTGTGTGGATTGAATTACGTAGCAATTAAATTATGTGCCATTATTGAAAGAAAAACCGTCCGCGTGTCGAATAAATGAATGAAATATTAATATTTTTCGCAATTAGGATATGTTACCTGAGATAATAGATAATTGATAATGATCAATGACAATGTCGAGCGAGAAAATTTAAATGTTTCTGTCAGCAATAAAAATTTTATAGCGAATTAGATTGAACGTAATGCGTATTGATATACATATTAAAGTCACCGTATGTAAATTAATATAAAAATGTATTTAATATAAATATAGAAACGGGTTAAATATAAAAACGATATAGATCAAAAAATCTTCAATACTTAAGTAAAATACGTTTTTTATTCGAAATGCATAGCGTTTCACTTTTACACTCAGATTAAATCAGTAACAACGGTTTTAATATGCACCAGTGCGCACGAATGCGTCCAGCCGAATTCCCTATTAATCATTTATAATAAAAATTTTTTTAGCATTCAAAACTTCGTTTATAAACAAAATAAGTGCAAAATGTTCGAACGCCTTGAATAATTATTTATGCAAAATTTAATATTTTACAAATACAAAAATTGAGAATATAGAATAATAATAAGATAAATAGAAAAATATTTATAAATTTCAAATAAGTTTAATACGAAATTCAAGATAATCGTGATAATTTGTCAGAAATATAAGTTCAAGTGTTTTTTTTTAACGAGGTACTTTATGCTTTACGTCACTTCATGTACGAGTTGCGTGTTGCGCGTATCAAGTGTTATGTCACGTAGTATTCGTGGAATCAGCTGAGCCGATTGTGCGGATTGCGTGGGATTGCGGAGTCAGCGGAGATCGAAGTCCCGCTTATCGTTCTTTATTTATTTCGTGTAATTAGAACGATGTATATTTAGTACGTGTGTTAATATTGTACGATATTCTTATGTGCAAAATTACATCATGCGAAAAGATCGTAGTCGAGCATTAATTGACGTATCTAGACTTATTTTTGCCAGTAGTGAGGTTAGGACAGCTGACATAACCTCGCATAAGTGGACCATCTTTCATAGAAAATAATAAAGAGTAAAAAGTAATAAAAGTAATAAAAAGTAATAAAAAGTAATAAAATAATGAATGGATTTGTGTGATTTCTCATTATTTATAACTTTTAATATACCCATGTAAATCGTTTCTCTTATATATTTATTATATGTTTTTGCGCGACTCATAAAAATTAAGGAAAATTAAATTATTCCTTTTCTTTAAAAATGACACAAAAAATGTTTTTGAATTATTATTATTATAAATGAGTTAGATGAAGATTACTCTAATCAAAAACCAACTTAAGTGAACTAATTCACAGTCCACCAAATAGTACTTGTGTCATTCTTAAAGTTTTTAATATAATTCTTACTTTCTACGAGAGTGATATTTTTAATTGTATTGTTTTTATAAATAAAAAGGAAAGTCTTCTACAGAGAATATTTAGATTTAAAATAGTTTTGATGATTGAAGTTTGAAAAAAAAATTGTCTTATTTTGAATTTAATTATAGCTAATCAAGGTAAATATAAACTGTTAGTAATATTTCAAGTTAGTCAGTTTTGATAAACTCCATATTTACTATAATTTTTAGAATATCAAAAATCGTTACAATTAAAAAAGATGATTTTCAAAAATTGTGATAGAAAAACAAAAATAGCATTTAATTATGTTTCTAAGAATATATCTTTTTACCCATATTTTTTTATTAGTCAATAATTCCTGTTAAGTAGAAAAATAAATTTTTCTCTTTTCTCAAAACATTTAACTTTTTTCTTTGTGTCACATTTGAAGTAAAGGAACAAAAAATGATCTTATATATATATAAAATAATGCTATTGTACAATGATATTTAATATTTTGTACAATTTAGTGATTGTTACATTAAGTTTTGGGACTGACAATATTTTTACAAAATGCATTGCATACACAAGATTATAAATATTACACAACGGAATCTACAAGTATTTAACAAAGTTCACAAGAGATCAGGAATATTGCTACAAAATATTATTTGCCGTTTGAATCACGACTCCGAGGAATATCTATCTGAAGAAGATGAGAAGAAGCAAAACGCATATGTCAAAATCATCAGTCATTATTTAGGCATTGCAGTTGGTGGACACAGGACGTTTATTTTACAACCCTATATAAAATGGGGTAGAGATAAAAAGAGAAACACTTCGCCAGAACTACAAATGGCTGAAGCTGTAGCACTAATAAATACTCTACCTAATTGGTGTGTAGTTGGAACAAAGTACTCCCCATTACTTACATTACAGAGGAAGCATCTGCTGGGAACCGGCGCGATTGAGAATCTAAAGAAGGACTTAAGACAATGTCCAAACCCCACTGCCATATTTATTAGCACTAATCAGTTGAAATTTGTCCAAATCAGCGAACTGGAAAAGATCTTTGGTCTACCAGTATATGATCGTTATTCTATAGTCATTCACATATTTCGTGAACATGCGAAGACTGCAGAGGCAAGGCTGCAGGTAGCCATAGCGGAGATACCGTACATTCGGAAAAAGATATTTGAAACGTGCATTACTCGCAGTGGCGCGATAAACGTGACGGAGGAGACAAAATTGTTACTCGACAGCAAAGAGAAGAAATTGAAAAACGAATTGAAGAAACTGCAGCAGCATCGACGAATAATCAGGAGTCACCGTAAGAAGCACGGCTTCTCCACGGTCGCTGTAGTCGGTTACACAAACGCAGGAAAAACTTCCTTAATAAAAGCGCTCACGGATGACAATTCTCTTCAACCTAGAGACAAATTATTCGCAACCCTTGACACAACCGCGCATCAAGGCATTTTACCCAACAGGTTAAAAATTTTGTACATGGATACTATCGGATTTATTCAAGATGTGCCGGAAACTCTGATTGAACCATTCATTGTGACTCTAGAGGATGCCATGATCGCTGTACGTTGGGTTTATATTACCTCTCCCTCTCTTCTCTCTAGTTGCTATTATTTTTTTTCTTTTATAAAAATTTCCCAATTTAAGAATTCTTTTTCCTAGGACGTAATAGTTCACATATACGATGTCAGTCATCCTGATATGAAGGCGCAATATCAGCACGTCCAACAGACGATAAAACCCATGTTGGATGCTCGTCCAATAATCGACGTCGCCAATAAGTGCGATCTTGTTCAAAGCGACTGCATACCCAAGGATGCAATTGCTGTCTCCGCTAAAGATCTGACAGGTGCAATCAGAATTTATTGTCTTTGTCTGTACAGCATAACTTATTCGAGCAACGTTGCAACGTTCTAGAAATATTGCAGTAACATTGCTACAAGCTTTTATGTATGAGCTTTAATGAATCCGCTAGATGCAATTTGAGCGTAACTTTAAAACAATTTAAATATTTACAGGAATCGATTTGTTGCGCTTGAAGATACAGGAGATCCTTTTAGCTTCGACTGGATTATTAAGCATACGTGTAAGGGTAAAAGCAGGCAGTTCTGCGGCCAGCTGGTTGTATAAAATGACGACAGTGACGAACACTGAATCAGATCCGAACGACGTTCAGTATTTAATTATGGAAGTGATTGCCACTGCGGTCGACATTCAAAAGTTCAAGAAATTTTTAAAAGAATAAAAAGTTTTATACCATACTTTATTGTTTTTCAATGTTCTCTTCTTTTTACATGATAGAAAGAGACATTTTCTATTGTAAGGTTAGCCTTATCTATTTTTTACGATTAAAAGGATTATATACGTATAGATTATCTATCAATCACGATTTGAATAGTATTTAACAACATCATAATTTTATAAACAATTTTCTTTTACAAAAGACTATTTTAAATTCCTTGTGTCAGATATTAAAAGTCTTTAATACTAAATTGCATAATTCACGAGCAGTAATTTGCTATTAAAAATGTATGACAGAAATATAAAAACATATGTATCGTCATTTTTATCGGAGAATTCAATTTACATATAAATATGTGAATTACTGAGAATGTTTTTTGTTTGAATGAATCAGAACGCACTTGAAAATCTTAGAAATATCCTTAGGCGCGGCATGCTGCCAAGAAGTCATTTCTTTTTACAGTTCGGCATGTACACGTGCTCAGCACGTGTTTCTCTGCAATCGGCAGACGACACGACTTAAAATTTCAACTGAGAGTTAGAGCTATTAACGAGATTAAAGACTTTATCATGGCACTTAGACACAGGAGATGCAAGTATACAATTTGTAAAGTTTGCTTTGTAAATAGGATTTCATATTTAAAGCGAAGCTTGTCGTTTGTACTCTGAACTTTTTACCTTTGTAATATTCCCATTGATATTCACAAATGTTGTCGTCGATTAAAAGAAAAAGGGACGTTCTCAATAAATTGCATTCTATACAATTACAACAAACAACAATTACAACAAAACAATTACAACAAAATATTAAATAGATTTAACAAAATAAAAGTTAGTTATTTTTTGTAAAATATGAGAAGATTTAAAGAATTATTCAATATGAGTCTAAACAATTTTTTATTCTAAATAAAATCATAAAACTTTATTTTTAAAAAATTCCATGCTTTGAAGAGCATTTTTAAAATTTTATAATTACATATATAATCCAACAAAAATGTATTTTGTCAGAGAAATTTCCATAAATTTTCTCGTTTCTGGCCATAATAATTGATCATATCATATCGTCGTATAAATATTAATATCCTTTTGACAGAAAAAATTAAAACCTATTCAACGAATTGTAAATTTTTAAACTTTTTATTAACAACTTCCATTTTTTTCAAATAAAAGTTTAATGCATTCCTCACATTCGTGCTTCTCGACCAAGGAAAATACGATATGCTATTTCAACGTTGCAGATGGCATATGTATCTGGCGAGAAGCACTGAAATAAGAAGAAGAATCTTCAAAAAAAGAACGGTAGCAATTCAGACTTTCGCATAGAGATATGTGGTCTAAAATTTGGCAAGACAATCGATTTACGTCTGGATCGTTGCCCGATGGAAAAGATCGCCCCGTTTATCATTATCGTTATCGTTTTATTAAGAGTTCCGTTTGTTTGCTTTATCTCTCTGCTCGTGCGAGTGTTTCGGCGATCAACCACCGCGAAAGAAACTTCACGACGAGGGTGCCATCACGGCACGATGTATAATTCATGGAACTCGATGGCTCTGCGCGTTCAAAGGGTGTCCTGATAATTTTATGTAACAATAGTAGAACGAGATTTTTTTTCGCAATGACGTTCTCTTTTTTTTATCTAATCGAGGAATTAATCCATTTGTTATAATCTCTATAGTCCACTCCAACTTCTGTCTTTCTGAATGCGCCGAATAGTTGTACGCTGACAATGAGCACAATTTTACCGTCGTAAAACTCAATCGAGGAAATGTTAAACGAACGCGAATCGGAGGGTGATTCTCAACGAGAGTCGCGACAGCTCCGTTCTATGCGGGCGATTCTCGACTGTAAAACTCTCCAGTACGTACTAACCCGAGCAACGCGTCATTAATATCCGGTGATGGCGGGACACCCTGTGTGTAGCCTTATAAAGTGTCCCAGCAGAATTAATCGCGCCGCGCCGCGCAGAGGAAGAGTCCCAGCCCCGAACTCTCTCCGCGCGTCGTCCTTTGGTTGTGAGAATTAATGAAGGATTGATATCGCGATTATGTTGTAGCAATAGCGTAGAAGAGGGTCCGGCGATGGGCACCGTATGGGCCGATCGGCAGCACGGATCATAGCGATAATTAATTGCAAGCGTGATGGCGTTTAACGTCGTTAATTTTCATTATCTTGATCGGAATCCGCTTGTAGCGCGGAACGCCGCTTTGCGCTCGCGCTAATTTCGCGCGCACATTCGCTTCCGGGAAACGCATTAACAATTCTTGGAGCGAGTTCCATCGAGAATGGAACGGGAGAAAGGGGAAACAGGGGTATCTCTCGCAAAATTTGTCACACGTCGCGGCTACGCTAATGTTACGACGGCTCTTGTGGTCGGGAATCGCGCGAAAACGTACGTGATATATTTGACAAGTTGTGTTTGGATTATTAAAGCGAGTCAAGTAAAAGCTAATTATCGTGATGGTCAGCCAAATGACAGATCAGCATCGCTATCACCTATTAATAATTCATAATTCTTTATTGCAATGCAGGCATATACATATACAAAGCAAATAGTAAGACATCAACAAAATTGTTGTTACAAGCCTGCCAAGTTAGATTACAATAAGTAAACTTGAATTAACAGAAATAGCAAAGCATAGTAATTTTGCACATTATATAAAGCATTATTCACAAATCAATCATACCATAACAAAAATATATAAAATTAATAATATTAATGTATATCTAGTAAATATATATCGAGATGACACAAGTCAAAGATCGCTATATCGCAGTGGATTCAAGTTGTCACGGCTGTCCCGTTAATTGATAAGTTCAGTACGAGCAGCTTTTCATTATCAAAGAAAGCTACGTTAAGTTACACGTAACGTATTCGCTAGTTGTAATTTTTCACTCAACAGTATATGTTATGTTACAGTTATATACATATAGTTATAATAATAATAATATTGTTAAGTGGAAAATTACAACATTAACAGATATATTTCTCTTCTTATCTCCAAAACAAATCCGCCGGAAAAGTGGCAACGATGATGGAAGTTTGGTTCATTAGATTGTCGCTACCAGCTCGGGTCCGATCGGTGTTTATTTAAACATGCTTTAAATACAAAGCTGCGGCTTGGCCGAGGCCTATCGCGCCTGCCCTCGGCAATTAAGCGAACGATTGGCTAACGAACGTCGATCGCCTCGCCGAGTGCGCGGCTCGTGTAACGTAATGACCGTCGTGCTGATTTGCTCGCCGTTACGGATTCAATTACGGGCGGCTTGCTCCGGTATTTTGCACGGTTCGGCACGGCACGGCCGAGCGTTCCGAGATCAACTGCGGAAATTAAATTAAACCTAACGCCGCCGTACGCTGGTACGCTACGCGTGCATAAATAACGAAAGTGACACCACCATCGGCCTGGGATCTAACGAACATAATCCGATACTTGCGTTGTTTTAAGCGCCGTTCGGCCGCACGCTCCCGGGCAAACTGCGAAGCTGTCTGTTAAATGAAGTTCAGATTAAACAAGGGCTGATGCTAATTGACTTTAACTGAAATACCGATCGGTTAATGCCGATCATTTTTAACTCTCTACTGTCCAATGCAACTTTCAAGTCATATATCCGTTTGTTTCGATTGCTTACATTTGCTGTTAGCAAGAAAATGCTTTTTATACGCACACGTTCTAAGTGCATAGACTTACTATATATTTTATTTAAATTTAATTTAACTTGTTTGTTATATATATATATTGAAGATTTTTTTCAAAACTCGAAATATTCTAATTTATATAATTAAGAAATTTAGACACGTATATTCATATAGTCCGTTCTTATAAAATCTTAAAACACTATACAGGGTGAAACAGTCGTTGAACCAACTTTTTATCTTATGAGAAAATTATCGACTTCATACCTAATTAAATTATAACGTGTGCATTATTATCTCATAGAATAAAAAGCTAGTTTAACGACTTTGATTCACCCTGTATACATATATAGATCTGTAAAAAATTTATGACATCTTGAAACTGTACCTAGACGAACTTGAACAATCAATTATAAATATATAACTTTTACAGTCGTTTAAAAATCAATTTTATCAAGGCTAACTTTTTTAACTCCTTAAAAATTTTCGTGCATATGGAAATTAGAATGTTTCGTTTTCGTATAAATATTCTCACATCCACTTGTCATCGTGACTAGGAAATGTCTAGAAACTGAAAGACACGAAAATTGAGTTCAACGGTGTTTGACTTTTGCAAATGTAAGCTCTCTCATGTTTAATCGCTTAAAAGGAGGCATGGTATGCCTAAGGTGTGAAGTCGGCAACATAAGGTGGGGCCTGTTTTGCGGCCGACATTCGCGGCTCGGTTAGTAACTCTCGAGTTTGAGCGGCTGACTTCAAAGGGACGCGAAAAAATTCGTGCGCGATTGACCTCGCGTAAGGAAATACCTTCGTGAAACGATCAACGCGATTCCTTCCCTGCGAATTATCCCCTTCCTTCTGTTTCCCATCTTTCTTTCCTTTACATGTCTTATTCGCATAAGAGGTCGAACATTGAACAATACGTGCATTTGCATACGCGCCCTATCTCTCCTCCCGCTTCATTCGCGTTCTTGTCATTGCGACTTAACGCGTGTCGTCTCGCGCGTGCAGTCATTTATCGCGAGGTTTATATCGGGTGTTCCGCTACTACCACATCGATTTAATCCTGATGGTTTATTTGGGACTATATGACCTAAAATGTAACTAATTTTCTTATTAATATTTTATTTTTTTCTCTAATATTTAATGACTATCTATTATAATTTGAGATCTTTTTTCTATAAAAATTTGTTTTTAATTTTTTAGAGCTTTTAATTATACATATATTATGTAGATCTAAATGATGATTATATATAAATAAATTTGAACATTAGGGTTAAAGATAAATTGAGAATTTTTATACGCTGGTAATTATTGTGGAATAACAAGTTTCTCTTACTGAGCTGAATTTCAATATAAATAAATGTACAAATTATATTAAAAGAATTTTAATTTTTTCTCGTTATTAAAATATAATTGGAAATTACGAGCTTTATTATTTATTTCGATACAATATTATATGAACAATTTTTTTTCTCATTTCTTCAAACTTGATTTTTATAAAACAATGCAAAAATTATCCTTTTAATTATTTTTCGTTTTCTTAACATTAATATTATGTTTCTCGTATGAAACAGTAATTTTATAAAAGAAAGTAGGAAATATGAACATATGTATTTATAATTATACATATTTATATAGTCTTGTATAAAATTTTTTACCTGATATTAGTTAAATGTATGTGCATGGAAAATATCATATATTCGAAAAAATATAATCAAGAAGAAATGACAAAGAAAAGAAAATTTACATTGAATTCAATTCAATTATTTTCTATATTATATATACATTTAACATTCACATCATACTGTATACATTCAATATTTTGTATCAACAAAATATAAAATTTTAAAGAATACTTTTTAAACAACATGTATACATAAAATGTTATAAATTTCGTATTCTTTTTATGTAAGGCATGGCGACGATTAATGGTACCAAGAAGAAAAACAAAAACGTATACAATATGCGCCCTGGATTATCTCCCGGATCGCTCGATCTCTGTAATTTATACCAACTTTCTATCTCCCCTCGTGACGCTGGCCTTGGCTGTGAGGATACACATCGTATACAACCCTTTTGGCTTCTTCTCATGGTACGTCCCTGGCACCGGCAAATCGCGCGATTGGCCGTCCCGCGGGCGTGGGAGCTCCGCGGGGGTTCATGGCTTGTCATACGGTTAGTACAACTGCGCTGGGGGTGGATCGAGGCATGCTGGACGGCTAGTACCTGTGAATAGGGCGAGACGGGGGTAGGTAGGCAGAAGTGATAGCCGGTCGGCGCAAGTGCGACGAGGAAGCGGCGGGGGTGAGGGGCGTATCGCAGCCTGGCGAAGCCCAGTCGAGTCCCGTGAGTCCGGGCAAGCACTGCTATCGAGTAGGTGGCATCGTGGTGGTGGTGGTGGTGGTAGTGGTGGAGGTGGTGGTGTTAGGCGTCGTCCGGGACCGAGGAGAAAGAGAGAGAAAGCGAGAGAGAGAGAAAGAGAGATTCCTCCGAAAGAGAGAGAGAGAGAGAACCGCCATCGAATACCGCTGCCGCCGCCGTCGTCATCATCGTCATCGTAGTCGTAGTCGCGGTCGTTATTGTTGCCATCTTCGTGTTCTTCGTTACCGTCGTGCTGCCGCCGTTGAGGCGGTACGTCGCCGTTGCGCGCTCGGTAAAAGCCCAGCCCCGAAGAAAAGGAGTAAACAGCCTCCCTCGTCTCTCTCGTGCCGCATGTCGAGAGAGCGAAATGAATGGAGAACGAAAAAGGCAGAAAGAGCGAGAAAGTTAATGTGAGCGAATGAGCGAACGA